ATACGAAGACATTATATGATTATAAGCATCATATTTCGTGTGAAGTGAGATCGTGTTTGGTAAAAGGAAGGAACAAAGAAAATCACAACACAAACGCTACTGTGTTCGGCTTTCGTTAAGTTAACAAAGGTACTTAAGTCAAATGTGTTCATTGCCTTTGGGACCGCAGTCCCGCAATCGGATACCAACAGAGGCCAAGTTCGAAGTGAGTGCTTCCATTATTCTTCTTCCATCTAGACCACGGTCGCGGAAACGTACGAAGCGGGAGTCGGTGTGCTGGGTTCCGCAACACAAGGCCCTGCCATCGGAGCCTGGTGCGTGAGATAACGGAGCTGAGCGGTTCACTCTTCCTAGACCACATAGAGGAAGACGATCGCGCTCATCGCTCACGCCGTGTCCCAGAAAGCAGTAACCAAATTGCGAAGTGATGGTCGGATTTAGCAAACCTTTGTCTGTCGACCTGATGGACTAGGAAGATTGAACGCACAGCAACGGTCTAAACTCCTTCAGGTCGAGAATGATGTCGCGCACGCCCAACACTTGGCGGATTGTCAAAAGCTCCTTGGGTTTTGGCCAGACGGTTAGTGATCACATCCTTTACTCCACAGGTAAGAATATAGCTGTCAAATACTTAAATTTCTGAACGACTTCTGACTGATCACCACTAAATATCAGCACAGAGATGCGTACCTACAAATCTTGGAGAATGACTGCTCCTCGAGTGTAGAGCGCAGCCAAAAACGATTGGCACGTTTGGAAGCTGTCACAAGTAAGGGTGATGCCGTCGGCATACAAGTCGAAAATTCGCTTACCACAGAGCAGCTCCACATCTGACTCGTGTCCACTGAACGCCGTATAAATGACTTCGCCAACGGCGAAGTTAGGGAAGGGTGGCAGAAATCAGCCAGGGATATTGGAGGGAAATTTTCCAAAAACCCGGTTCACTATGCTCGAACTATGCGCGTAGTGCTACGGTCATGTTTACAAATCAATCTGGCACACTCCTCCGGAGTACATCGATCCACCGAATCTAGGGCACCATTGACGTCAAGAAACGCGACTACGGTGACGGCATTCCAACAAGCCGAGATCAATTCAGCCTCCATTTCGAAGTAACCCAGCTTGCCTTTCGCGAATCCGCATTTTACGGGTGCCAGCTAATCTGTGTACTAGATACAATCAACAGAGGCAACTGAGATCAAAGTGATTCCTCCATGGCCCCTTCTTGTCTTTCGGTAGTGCATTGAGTACATCCCCAAACTGAGCAAGCGTTCAGGATACGTCTGTCCCTGTAAACCCTGCACTAACCGAGTGCCTACTCGTAACACCCGCTCCAAGTCCATTTTGTGTCGGTTGACATGGTGAACAAGCCTGGATACAATATTCCACGTGGGGTCGGACGAATGCCGAGAAAAGCTTCACAAACAAATTGGCCGTTAGGATTCCAAAAGAACGGCTGATAAACCACATCATACGAAACCCCCCAGAAGCAGCTTTCTTCCAATTGTCGCCGGAATAGAGTGCTGATGAGTGTACGACCCCTAAAACAACCTGCGGAGTGACAACAGAGTTCGTCACCGCCAACATACCGGCTGGGAGAATTAGCCGCTTCGATCCGGAGAACACAGCACTTGGCCCTATTTATGGACATCAACCATAAGGTAGACCATTCCCGGAACTTATCCAGAGCATGCTGAATTGCCTCAGGACCCCCCGGGATATTCATAGTATTCTAGAGCATTAGCGATGACACTCCTAGCTCTCCCGGCAAGTCATTCACATGGATCGCGAACAACAATGGCTTCAATACCGAGCCCACGAATAGCACGTCTACACCATGGCCACTGCCTACCAGCTTTCATGAGCTACAAGTAAATTAGTCTGACATGAAAATCCTTTGCGGAATCCATGTCGTGCGACACTTTGAAGGTGGAATCTATTCAGGTGGTTCTATGCTGAATCTCATGTTTTTCAAACAACTTGACTACTATGCTTGTCAAACTGGAGGCCGGTAGTTCGCGGGCAGAGCGATGCCACCGCCCTTAAAAATCGGACAGATGATTGCCTCCTATTCCGAAGGTAGGATACAGCTGTCAAGCGATATTGAAGACACGCATGTGAGAGGACCACTCAGATCAGTGGCCAATTCATTCAAGAGCTTGGGATTAAAGGAATCCGGACCGGAAGATTTAGACGGATTAATGCCTTGTAGTAGCTCGAAGAACTGAGTCACCGTTATGTTAAACTCAGCTAAGCAACAATCCTCTGGAACTCTTGAAACCAATTCAACCTGTGGTAAAGAGGTCTCCCAAGCAAAGACCCCAGTATACTGATCACGAATTATACAAGCCTTGTCATAGTCAGTTGGCACACGAGTCCTGTCCGCTCGCAATAACGCTGGTATGGACAGTTTTGCCCCGCTGTCTTTTAACGTAAACAAAAATCTTTTTGGGATTAGTTGCGGCCGAGTCCGCTAAACCCTGCTCGTACTGGAGACGAACAGTCCTGAGATGTTGCTAACATTTATTTCTAATTTCTCGATAACTATCATAGGTACTGACTGATGGACCTGCTTGGTAAGTTCGCCAGCACCTAGACCGTCTCTTGAGTAGGTACTTGGCTGGGTTTTCTATCAATGTAGGCTGTGGAATATAGGGAATGGAAACCTCGGTAAGATATGCCTTAAATTTATTCCAGGCTAACTGGGCAGAGTCAGCCATCGAGATCACACGGTTCAGAACTGAAGCCTTAACTCGCATTGCATTCAAGTTCACCCGCCAAATATTCGAAGTAATTCAATAGCGGTCTGTTGCTACCTTGAAAGAGCACACCGAAAGGACATGCATGCGTGATCGCTGGACCCTAGAGGTGCACCGTCACTCACAATGTCGAGGGACTTAGCAAAAACCATATCTAGAACAGATGGTATTTAGGGTTCCATATACCTAGTGGGGAAGTGCACGAACTGATGCAAAGACACTTGGAGAGTTAGCCAAAGAAAGTCTGCACCGAATGTTCCTGACGCCGAATTGCAAAGATCGGCCCAACAGACTTCCGGGAGGTTGAAATTCCACAGAACAAAAAATTTAGCTTGCAGCTTTCATGACGCCTTAGTAAAATCTATCAACAACACATAGTCTAACCAATAACAATGTGAACTCAACACAACTACACCATTCCGCGTTTTACACCAATGATCTGAGTACACTGCACTGTGGTAGAACTAGCCGTTCGAGATACGAACGTCGATGAACCCAGATTGATGCAGTCGACGACAACCCTATCTCAGTACACCTTGCTCGACGAACCTTCAAAGGCAGTTTCCGCCTAATAGGCACATGATTATTACTGAAACTACGCTTTGCACGTAGCACACAAGTCACCGGAAATCTTTCACCTACTCCTTGAGGTCGTGCAGCGTGAGTTGTTCATGGTATAGCATACAGCTATCACTACGATGCACTTCAGAGCTTATTTAAATATCAATGGAGCGTAGAGGTTCCGAAGAAAAGATGCCAAGCGATCACCGGAGCATCCCGACGTTTACAATGTCCGCAGCGAAATTGAGGCTGGCCATGTGACTCATCAACTCACTAGTTTGGGTAGATATAGCTATTAAGGCACTAGCAAATCAATAGGCTCATAATGAAAATAGACCACTTCTGTAGCGAATAACAGGCTAGCATCACCGTGACCTAGCACCTAAGGATCCCAACATCCGCAATGAACGCTGCGCAAGCATTGCGTCGACTCCCTTACCAGAACCGGATAACGCTTGTTATTTGACTGCGATCTCGCCGTTTACTTCACATAAAGTAGATGGACGCATCACATCACGTTAACTACGTCTAACTGAAAGAGCGGGAGCAGTGTACCAACACCTTTCGGACTGCATGCACGCAGTGTAGTCAGTAGCGGCTCGACTGTGTTTCCACCAATTATTTAGCTATGCGCACAAAAGACAGTAGATTGTTTCTTATTTCGAGAGCAACCGCATTTAACGCGCACTGCGACTGGCTGCAGTAACCGCCTGCGGACGTTAGCTACGGATTCAAATAAAGTGTAACCTTTGCCGTCCTACGATATTCGCCATAACGCAAGAACCAAAGGAAGCAGCTCCATCGCTAGCCTTATTCGTGACATCCACTGAACACGGGTTTGGTATTAGCCTAAACATCAACTAATCAGGCATTCCTTCGACATTTTCTTGGTGACGACTGCACCACTGACTTGCAATACATACAAATAAAGCGCAATTGGACCAATTAGTTAGACCGTGACGCCGAGATTTGGATCCAATACTGTAAGTTGCTGACGATTGCGAACTCGACGCACTTCCAACCAAGGCTGCTCTATCAACGCGAAAAGATTTGTATGGAGAAATGTATGATTATGAAATTGTCGGGGTTCGGGACCGGACCCCTACAGATGCACTGCATACAAGAGAAAACATCTGAAGACAGCGCCTCTTGTTTTAGGCCTGAACATTGCAACGTGCGGCAATATGCCCGTATCCTTGACATTTATAGCACTGGACGTTAGAACCGCCACCGCCGCCGCCGCCACCACCACTTTCGACACAATCCCTTGAGATGTGGCCGTACTGCTGACATCTAAACCAAAACATCAGAAATCACACCGCGCCATGTACCTGTAGCACTGAACACTTGATTCGCTGCCGCGGCCGTTAGGACAGTCGCGGGACATGTGGTCGGACTCTCCGCAGTTGTAGCACCCGCGACCACCACCACCACCACCGCCTCCACCGCTTCTGCCGCCACCACCGTAACCACCACTTCGCTGACCGCCAGTACACTCCCGAGCAAAATGTCCGGATCCACCACAGTTGTAGCAAGTGTCTACAATACACAAATAAGCACTGATCACACGACCGTTACATCCCAAGAACAAACGAGCTGAGCCACAGCGCAACCGCACGGTAGAACAACTTTGAACACTTCAAACTACCGTTCCGCACAGGTGACAACCATGAAACTCACCGCGACCACCGCCATATCCGCCATTGTATCCTCGGTCACCCGTGCAATCACGGGCCAAATGCCCAGTCTGACCACAATTGTAGCAAGCGTCTGTAATGCAGAGAGAACCTCAACGAAGTCCACCGAGATAGACACGTTGACTTAATTACATGCTAAAAACGGCATGCATTACGACAATCGTATTGAACGTGAAGTATTAGGGAAACAACTTTATCGGTAGCAAACAATGTCATGGAAAACATGTGAGCAAATCTTACCGCGTCCTCCACCTCCACTACCGCCTCCTCTTGAACCACGATATCCTCCACCACCGCCGCCGCCACCACCACGGCTTTTCGATGTACAATCACGTGCCATATGCCCAGACTTGCCGCAGTTATAACAACCGTCAGACATCTCGGAAGGAGCGACTCGTAAGAATGGCGAAGACTAACTGACAGGATATAGAATATGGACGCTCGGGTTAAACAAACTGAAATATTTCTAACAAAAATCAAGTTACGTTTATTTATTTAATTGACGTTAAAATTTCGTGGATAGCGTCTGCTTATTGACCACTTTATTGCCGTTGTTTTAAATTGCTACAATGTGCCACCGTTATATGAGAAATAAATGTCAGAATGTGTATACCAAGCTATATTTTTCCAAGTCTCCTTTATGTTTTAGAACATTTTTCCCTACTTTGCCGAAATGTTTTTAAGCGTCATTACTTCTTTAGAGCCACTAAAACCCTAGGATTTATTTAAGATTGGATTTCAGAGGCATGTCATATTTCAGGTGGCTCTTAGACAATGCGAGAAACTCGTTGTATACTCCTCCGTAAGAGGATATTTTAGTCATAACTTACAATATGGTTTGGGGTGTTAAGCAACCTAAAACGAAATCAGCCAACTATCTTCCACGTATACATAACCAGCACTCGCTGTAGTACAGATACATTTATAGCGTTTGTATATTTCTTCTTTACGATTGGACTTTACTTTTTGCTTTATTCGTATTACCATTATTGTATGGCTAGTTTTAAGTAAGTCGTGCAATACATTCTTTTTCGAACCTCCTGGTGCTTTTTCGCTCCGGTCTGCTGCGTTCGTCGTGGTTGTGTTTGCTAGAAACTATCAGCTAGAAACTATCACACTGTTCGCGCTCCGCTATACGCCGCATTATACCACTAGGCCGTGAAATCGTTCGCAGTTGGAAACTTACCGGGTGTCGTTGACGGTTGTTGCTTAAACTGACTGAGTTCTACATATGAATATGTTCGCAGGGATAACTCGTTCGCTACATATTTGGTGACCCCGTTTTGCTATTACTTTTGGTTTGCTTTATCGCTTTTAAAGCTCAAAACCCGTTTTCTTTGCCAGGGCTTGGAAACACGTTTGTTCTGAGGCCACATCGGAAACGTTTGTTGCTTTGGCTGTGCCTACTTTCGATACGTCAAATCCTCGTGTTTGATTTTTACAACTTGAGACACCTTTTCGTTGTCGCCGTATTAGATAACAGTCCAACAGGTTTTCTTAAATTGCTGCACACCTCCTCGCCTGTGTCCCCGCTGACGTCGCAGCTTTGCTTAAGCACATTCCGACTGATGCATCTTACCAGAAGCTTAAAGCTGCTATTCTAAAGAGCGCTTCCGCCCCCGACGTAGCCCGACTTCAGCAACTGCTTTCCGGTGTTGAGCTCGGGGACCACACACCTTCACAGCCCCTTCGCTACATGCGCTCCTTAGTGGGCCCTAACAAAGTCAACGTCAGCGGTTTGCGTCAACTGTGGACAAAAATGTCCCCCTACAACGCTACAGCGATTTTCGCCGTGTTCCCTGATGACGTATCTTCGGATAAACTGGCAGAAACAGCAGACAACGTGCATGAATGATTGTTTAAACATCACGTTTGTCAAGTTTTCCAGTCGCCTACTACTTGCCCCCGGGAAACTATACTCTCGAGTCGTCATCTTACCGTTGTTCCGAACTCGCACTCCAACTTTCGTGTGTTCGACGCATCGTAGTAGAGGTGGCAGACCCGTATATCGAGACAGATGCACTTTCTCGCGGAATACGGTACGTCACTGTCGTTCTTACCATCGCCGTTTTGGTGATGCAGCTAGGAAATGGCGCCCTGGTTGCACCAGATTAAAACACCTAGCACGCCGCAGCAGGGAGATGATCGAGCCAGCCAGTTATAGCGCAGACTGCAGCTTGCCAACCGTCTAGTCGCTTACTTCACGACCTCGCAAGCAACCTTGCCTTCCTGGTTGACACCGGTGCTGAGGTAAGTGTTCTACCTCGAAGAACGGAAATACGCCACCTACTCCCTACCAGGAATTAGGCTTCAGTCGGCTAAAAGCACCGCGAGAAACACGTACGGCCAAAAGCTGCCAACCCTTGATCTCGGACTCAGACGATCTCTCCCGGCCATCTTCCTCATCGCAGACCTCCCACGTCCCATAATTGGCGTCGACTTCCTTAAGAAGTACTGTCTGACGCCGAATTGCAAGAAAGATCGACCCAACAGACTTCCGGGAGGTTGAAACCACCCTAGAACTAAACATTCATACGTGGACTGAGTGCGAATAAAGTCAATTATCCTCCTGGAAGAACTTCCAGGACTCCTGTATATCACTACAACTGTAAACTGGGTGGAGAAAGTGCACAAACCACCGATAGGGCTTCAACAGTCTGACCCACTTGATCTTGCCTGGTCACTGAGGAAGACCTTGCGTTGTTTTCCACAAGGGCGGGCGAAAGCAGGCGTGGCAGTAGAAAATGAAGCCAATGAGTGCAGACATGGAAGCTGCTGGTCCGTTGCCCATTCAACGATGGAGTCCAAATCGCCCGCATAGTACATGACTCGTACTCGTGTAACATCTGTCCACACCGATGCATCACGCCCAACGCGCGCGTTGAAATCACCCAGCAGAAACAGTTGGTCACTCCTCGGCACAGACCGTGTCACGGAGGATAGCTCAGTGTAGAACTGATCACGCGTGTAAGTTGTCCTCTGAAGTCAGACTGCTCAAGGGTCCTATGGCGCTGAGTTCTGTGGAGTAACAGCAAAGAGCAAACCGAAAAATAACTTTCACGCGGATGCCGATTTTCTTAGCAATATAGCCGGTATGCTCTTGACGAGGTTTTTTGCTTAGCGATAGACGGTCTGGCAGCGAAGAATTCGTCTAAACGCCTGCCCTGACACTTTTCATTATTCTGAGTAGCACTTAGTCTTTCCTGATCCCACCAACCGAGGCAACCAGATCACAGCACACTACATTAATTTGTACATCAATAGCCTAATATATCGCATGAGCTGATTGATTGTAATTAAAGCAAGACGGCAAGGATGTCTGGTGTCGATAGCGTTGACGGATCGGAAAAGATATCTCGCGATTAATTGTTTGTACTTTGTTTGAGATGTGTCAGCCGCGCGGACGGAAGCTTGTCAGTGCTGCGTGCTATACGCTATCCCCCATTTTCAACCTGTACACCCTTTCTCTGGACCACCGTCGTCCTCTCCGTGCAGATGTGAATCAAGGGGAGAATTAGTGAAGTCGACAGTTCTTCCAGGTCTATGCAGACAGCTCCACAAGGCGAGTCCGTAGAAAGCTTAGTATATCGCGGAGGAGCTACGTCCGAGTTCAAGGTATCCATAGGAGTAGTGGTATAACCACATGCTGAGTACACCTAGACTCCGCTGTTTAGCTTGCAGCTTTCATGACGCCTTAGTAAAATCTATCAACAACACATAGTCTAACCAATAACAATGTGAACTCAACACAACTACACCATTCCGCGTTTTACACCAATGATCTGAGTATACTGCACTGTGGTAGAACTAGCCGTTCGAGATACGAACGTCGATGAACCCAGATTGATGCAGTCGACGACAACCCTATCTCAGTACACCTTGCTCGACGAACCTTCAAAGGCAGTTTCCGCCTAATAGGCACATGATTATTACTGAAACTACGCTTTGCACGTAGCACACAAGTCACCGGAAATCTTTCACCTACTCCTTGAGGTCGTGCAGCGTGAGTTGTTCATGGTATAGCATACAGCTATCATTACGATGCACTTCAGAGCTTATTTAAATATCAATGGAGCGTAGAGGTTCCGAAGAAAAGATGCCAAGCGATCACCGGAGCATCCCGACGTTTACAATGTCCGCAGCGAAATTGAGGCTGGCCATGTGACTCATCAACTCACTAGTTTGGGTAGATATAGCTATTAAGGCACCAGCAAATCAATAGGCTCATAATGAAAATAGACCACTTCTGTAGCGAATAACAGGCTAGCATCACCGTGACCTAGCACCTAAGGATCCCAACATCCGCAATGAACGCTGCGCAAGCATTGCGTCGACTCCCTTACCAGAACCGGATAACGCTTGTTATTTGATTGCGATCGCGCCGTTTACTTCGCATAAAGTAGATGGACGCATCACATCACGTTAACTACGTCTAACTGAAAGAGCGGGAGCAGTGTACCAACACCTTTCGGACTGCATGCACGCAGTGTAGTCAGTAGCGGCTCGACTGTGTTTCCACCAATTATTTAGCTATGCGCACAAAAGACAGTAGATTGTTTCTTATTTCGAGAGCAACCGCATTTAACGCGCACTGCGACTGGCTGCAGTAACCGCCTGCGGACGTTAGCTACGGATTCAAATAAAGTGTAACCTTTGTCGTCCTACGATATTCGCCAAAACGCAAGAACCAAAGGAAGCAGCTCCATCGCTAGCCTTATTCGTGACATCCACTGAACACGGGTTTGGTATTAGCCTAAACATCAACTAATCAGGCATTCCTTCGACATTTTCTTGGTGACGACTGCACCACTGACTTGCAATACATACAAATAAAGCGCAATTGGACCAATTAGTTAGACCGTGACGCCGAGATTTGGATCCAATACTGTAAGTTGCTGACGATTGCGAACTCGACGCACTTCTAACCAAGGCTGCCGTTTTACACAAATTTATTGAGAATTTCCATTATGCATTTAAAGATAAATGTAGAGTGTATCCAATTTAGGTAAAACGGGAGAAAACGATTTGTAAGTGTGATGACGATGCTCACTCGCATGCAGCTTTATTATGCTGATGGGATACATAGTTCTTGAATGCGCGTTCCCCAAATCCCTTTCGAAATTGCAGAGGTGCACTTTGGTTCGCTTTGCCAATTTGGAGTCCGGTCTAGAGGTTTATATGGCGTAACATATATGAATAATTATATTGTCTGTACGCTTCTTTGTATACCAATTTGACGGAAGAACCGACGTTAGTGTGTATGGCCTTCTATGTTTGGCATACGCGAAGCAACAAACAACCTATCGCCAGGCAACATGGGCGTATGTTTCGGCTTGCAATAAAATAAATGAATAACTAAGGTTTTATGCTCAACAAATCAAGGCACGTCTTTACAGAAATGATCGCGTTGAGATAACAAAGCGTAAGTAAACCAGTACAAACGTACAACTGGTTTTCCGTAACAATGTAGGTTTGTGTAAGGATATGCATATCAATGTAATTGCGTGTGCGTCGTAGGTTGTGTAGGTTGTGTTGGGAATGTTCCGCTGGATCCCTGACTGTTTTATAACCTCGG